AGAGCAGGAAGAGCGATGGAGAACTGCAGGGGAAGGATGGGTGGCTGCGGCTCATTGGGGAAACCGATGTGTGGGAGTCTGGGCAGAGACCCTGGGCCACACCAATGAGAGCTGGAGGACCTGGTCCAGGAAGGTCCATGGCCCCATCCTCCTGGCTGCACTGCTCCCTAGTGTTCCTCGGGGCATTAGAACCTGTTTTGGAGATGATGGGGGAGGGGGCGCATAACTCATGAATGAAGAGAGCAACTCATGGGGAAATGCCACAGACAGTGCATGTGAGGGACTGGAACCCCTCAAGGCCTCAGAAAGCAGCACGGAAAGCAATCCACAAAATGGCACCCAGAAGGCTGCTGGAGACCAAAACTCCCAGCCCTTACAACATACACCCCGTAAATGGGGAGCCCGTGTGGATTGGGACTTGAAGAACCCCTGTGGAGGACCAGAGAAACCTTAGCTAGCACCACAGGTGGAGGAGGCAAGCCCGACGAACAAGTAAGAAGCCCCAAATGCTCCCCCAACTGCTCCCTGTGCTTGCTGTGTCGGATCCCTCCTGCTGAATGCCACTGCGCCCACCCATTTCTGTGCAGGCTCTGCACCTGCTGCCCTAGCACTCCCAGGCGATGCAATGGGACACATGGCTAACAGCCCTGACACACGTTCCCCCAGAATGCCAGCAGCTCCTCTGGGGGAACAGCCACTGCCAGCTCGAGGGACCCAGCAATGGAACACGTCCTGGAACCAGCAGCAAGCACAGATGTGACAAACAAGTACAGACCTGCCTGTCTTCCTGTTGGGCTCGCAGAAATCTGCAGACACAAAAGGCAGGAAACCATGCTAGCTACATTGGACACCTATGGGAACGCAGACACCGGATAGCCGGTAAGACAAAGAAATGTGCTGCACCCACCAGGAACTGTGCCATCATCCAGGATCACCTTGGTGGCGACCAAAACTATGGGCAAGCAATCTGCAGAACTAACGCTGACTCGCTTTGATTGACAGGTGGGCCGACTCCTAAGGATACAAACAGACGGGGCTGAGGGGGACAATGTGATGGCTTCCTTAGAAATGCAATCCGAGGAGGGGGATGAAGTGCAATTGCTGATTTCACATCCATGCGCTGCTGAGCAAGGAGGTGAGTGTGCATGAGCACTGGGGGAGCACATGAGCAGCCATCACAGCTGAGTGCGTGGCAGTGGCACTGCAGCAGGAGAGCAGGAGCCACCATTGAGAACAGCAGGCAGATGAACATGCTGTGAGATTGGGGGAGGTGGGACTTTCCATGGCGGGCTGGGGGGGGAAGGCACAGGGAGGAGGAAGCAGGTGGAGTAGGCTGTGTTCTGGAGAAGGAGAAACCAGCATCCCTGGGATCACAGCAGAGGAATGAATGCTTCCCAAAAAAGGCCATAGAATTTAGGGGAGATGAAAGGGAACCTGAGTGGCGTTGGTGTAGCCTCACACTTGCAATGCTCACTCCAACAGGACTCTGGAGGATGGAGAGAATGGAAAAGCGGTCCCTGGAAAGAGAGGCAGAGCGGGCAAGAGGACAGAGAAAGAGGTGAGTGGTTGGGGCTGGCTCCAAAGAGATGGAGGGCTGAGCTGCAAGGCACCAGAGACGGGAAGGCTGATAGGCAGCTTTTGGGCAGAAACTAGCTGAGGCTGGAAAAGGGGGCATGGAGAGCCTTGTCAGTGACTGCTGTGGGGAGAACAGGTATGGCTGTGTGGAGGATGGGTGCAGGACACAATGGTTGCCCTGGCACTGCCAGGTCATAGACATTCACAGAGCAAAACCAGTGACCAAGGCCCTTCCCTTTCCAGCACACAGGGGAAAAGGTTCCAGGAAGCATGATGATGCTGCTGGAGCCCAATGCCTGGAGAACGTGATGCAGAGAGGGAGTTCCCTCGGCTAGGACACCCTCAGGTGGAACTGCCCACCAACACCAACAGCTATGGACGTGGAAGGAGACTGGGACACAGCAACCTGAAAGAGCAAAACCAGGAAGGAGTGAGCTCAGCTGCAGCCTCCATTCCCGAGACGCTGCAATAGCCTCCCTGGACTCGAAGCACCCTGAGACTGTGCCCTGCCACTCACAGCCTGGCCTTGCCCCAATCCCTTGCGCTCCATGTACCTCCCATGAACCCCTTGCCCCAGCTTCAGCCATGTTCACTTGCTTGCCTGTCCCTGTCCTTGTCCCTATGCCTGCAACCCTTTCAACTATGACTGAGTAACTCCATTGGACGTTGGGGACAAGATGCTGTGTGAGGGTGGGCACTGGGGAAAAGGTACAATAGCAGCACACACAACAGGCCAGAAGACACAGTACATGGGGATGAGGTACAGGCAGGGAGATGGGGAAGGACCTCTGAGGGACATAAGCCCAGGCTCTGGGGTGAGGCATACACCAGCACATTCCTCCCTCAAAAAGCAGTGGGGACATGGCAATGCAGATGGTGGAGGTGGACATCACAGGGCGGCATTGGGCTGAGGGAAAACATTGGAAGAACACCCTTGGGGGAGGGGGACACCAACACAGCACTCAGGTCAGTGAGCACAGCACACTGCAAGGGTAGGATGGACCAAGTCGGTGGGGGGGGGGGGGCATGCTTGTCCACACAGGGTGACACGACAAGACCCACCAGCATACACAGACTAATGCGACACGCACAAAAGGGGGGACATTAGGGGAGGAGAGACTCATGCGCTCACAAAGCCATTGTCTTCATCACGCTTTTTCCATGGGCTGCTGCACCATATGGACCATACTCACTGCATACCCTACCAGTTAGCCTCAACTTCACAGGTTGAGGGCACATGAAGGGGGAAAAGGGTCAGGGCACAAAAAACTAGACTCAGTCAGCTTCAAAACACTGACTTCATTTATTTCAGAAGTGTGCAGACTCAAAGCAAACCCGGAAAAGTACACAGGGGGGAAACTGGCATCTGTAAGACTGAGGGCACGACATCAGGAGGGGGCACTGAGTGGGCACCAGCGCATTTTCGGGAAAGCAGAAGTGGGGCAGCTGGGGAAGAGAACCGGGATGATTTGCAGGAGTGTGGGGCGTGAAGACCAACAGCTAGTCCCTGTGCTGGCCAACACCATACAACACTGCCAGCGCCAGTGCTTTTCAGTACAGACTTGCACTCTCCCTAACGTGCAGCATCGGGACGCTTTCAGCCGCATTCATCGAACCTGCCTGGGGCAGGGTGGTGGCCGGTG